AAGCCTAACAAGTGCACCCCAATGTTGTTGATTTGGACATTGAGAGTACTTACTCAATCTAGCTACTGCTGAAACAATATTAGGTCTAGAAAAGCTCATCAAGTGTAGTAAGCTCCCGATTATCTTGGCATACTGAGGCTAAGAAATAAATTCTCCTTTATTTTTCATTAATTTAGAATTAACATCGATAGGGGTATTCATTGGATTAAAGTCATAAAACTCAAACTTCTTAAGAAGTTTCTCAATATATTTTTCTTGAGATAGTAATATACTATCTCCCTTCCTTATGATTCTAATACCTAAAATCACACTGGTTTCACTCATGTCTTTCATTTCAAAATTCGATCCAAAAAAACAATTTAGCTCTAGCAACAACCTCATTGCATGTACCAAAAATTAACATGTTATCCACATATAAATGTATAATGACACAAGCACTATTTTTAGATTTAGAGCACACACATTTGTCAACATAATTAGGTGAAAAACCATCATAAAACAATACATTATCAAGTTTTTCATGCCATTGTTTTGATACTTGTTTCAACCCATACAAAGATTTTAAAAGTTTGCATACTTTATTCTCTTGACCAGGTACAACACATTCTTCAGGTTGAGTCATATAATTTTCTTCCTCCAAATCACCATTCAAAAAAGGTTTTTTAACATCCATATGGTGTGTATCACTATTTTATGGATAACTACTAGAGCTAACAATAATCGAATGGAGGAAATCCTAGTTATAGGGGCACAAGTATCAAAGTAATCTATGTTGAGTTTTTGAGTAAAATCTTTTGCTACTAATATTGTCTTATACTTCTCTATGGATCCATCAAAGTGATATTTTTTCTTAAAGATCCACTTACAACCAATGAGTTTTGCTCCTTTAGGCAAATCTACTAATGTCCATATTATTTTTTTCTAACAACGTTTAAAATGTTAATAACGTAATGTCTATCTCAGTCAATATTAAATGAGTTGTCAGTTTTTAAAATACATGCCAAATAATTAAAGGTTAGGGTTCCTGTTAACTAGTGTTAAATGTTAATTCCTAATTATTTATAAATCCTAATTGGGTAAACCTTAATTGATTTTCCCTAAATGTTTGATTTTCTTTCAAGAACCCTAATCATTTTCGTTTTTCTCACCTTTGGGTTTTTTCCCAGCACATTCCAAACCAGTCAAAGTTCAACGTCGTCGATAGCCACCGTGAGCCCCCCATGGTCGCAACCCATTAACACCTCCATAGCCTTGACTCTCACAACCATCACCAACAACCAATAAGAGTAAAAAACGCGAAGAATAAAAACCCAAAAAAATTCTAAATCATAACCCTAACCCCTAAATCGCGAGCCATAAGGGAGAACAGAAAAATCCCAAAATGCAATATTATTAACACTAGTTTGTAGAGAACAAACAAGAACCCAATTCGCAAACGAAAAACCCCAAAGTTGCAAGACCAAAACGCAAGAAACAAAAACCCCAAGCTTCACGCCATCAAAGAGGAAGAAAATTTTATCATCTACAAAGTCGAATCAAAGAAAGGGGAAGACGAAAACCTGAAAAACCCCAAATCACTAGATTCTTCAACCCCAATTTAACCCTAATCGCAAATCGCTTTCGAAACCAACCTTTTACAAAAACTATTTAACTTTTAACATTGTCACGTCAATTGGCTTGATCTTGCAACATATTTCAAAATTGAACAACTCATTAATATTAACTAAGGTGAACATTACACTGTTAGCATTTCCGTGAGCTAAAAGGATCAAATTGAACTACTTTTACAAAAAAAAAAGGAACCACTTTAAAAAAAACTCAAAAATAGAATTTAAACAAAATTAACTAATAAGAGACTCAAAATTAATATTAAACCTTTAAGAGTCTATGTTTTAAGCTGCATCTTCTTTTCTCTCCCATGTCTAATTCTCTCTTTATATCTTTATATATATATATATATATATATATATATATATATATATGCGGTGTTCT